TTCAGTAGAAGTTAGATTAAAAAAATTAATACAAAGCAGAATATGATAAATACAAGTAAAATTAGGAAAACTCTCCATCCCTAAAGTTATGTGCTCATATTCTGGCATGTGAGTGTGTGCTTGATTGTTCATGGTTTATTAATTTGATAGATGTCTCTGTGAGTCCACGTGTGTGTGTGTGTGTGTGTGTGTGTGTGTGTGTGTGTGGTCCCACTGAGACACAGGGGGTTACACACATGACTGACTCCATGACTCCACTCCCCGCTTTGGGAGTCATCTCAGAGGTCAAAAAAGATCTTGTGTGTGATGTGCACTCATTTGCCCTTTCCTCAATTCACCCTTATCCCTCCATCCTCTCCTCCTTCCTCTCCTCCTTCCTCTCGTGTTCTGTCTCATGCAGCGATTACGTTGCACCTCCTAGATAGTGAGGACATTTCTCAGGAGGTGATGGTGGCTCTGTCTCAGTGCACTGCCACACAAGGGCTGGATGGTACAGTGTGTTACACAGATGGGGGAAAAAGAGCTTCTACATGAGTCTGTGTGAATTTGTGTTTTTTCACACATGTATGTGAGCCTACTCATGTGTGCTCATGTGCATTCAAGTGTACAGTTCCCACACTTAAGTGATGTCCTCCCCATCAAATTTAATTTCTAAACCCACCATAAATTACTGGGCCCCCACTTCAGCTGTCCTGGCTGTGCACTACAGAACCTTTGGCAGGTCAAAGGTAAGGTCAACTGTAGAGTAGGGCATGACATTAAAGTCTAAATAGTGATTACTGTCCCACTCCTGGTGATGAGCAAGGCCATAATCTAGTTCACGCTTATGTCTGATCATCTTCCCAAAGCTACTAATCCACTCATCACTGTCGAATGCCAAACCGGCATATGTGTCTCTGATTAGATTGGCCAAAGAGGATTATGCACTGTCTAAGAGTAGATGCAGCCAGGGGGTTATCAAAATGCTATATGCACTAAACTGTCCAGGGGCATTAAAGAGATGGTGGACATGAAATTTATAAACTGCAAGCTGATTTCATGATTTCATTACGAAACGATTTGTCGTTTATCTGCTTGAGGGTCAGTGTCATGTGGTTGTTCCAGAATTTAGTTCTTTATGTGAAGGATCCACAAAGTGTATTCTGCAGAAGCAAGTCAAAATTAACTGTATTTTTATACTGTGTGATAATGTATATGTTGATATTTTATAAAAAAAATTAAATATAATAATATAAATTGTTATTTACATTGAATACACTCGTCTTTTATGTATATTCGAACTGTCTACTTTCTGTTTATCATATACAATATATACTATAACAGGAAAAGATACAGTTGCTACAATAAGTGCATGTTCTCTGTGTGTGTGCACTATGAATTGTACTAACATTGTACCACAGCATATTGATTTATCTGTGATTCCCTCGGTCAGCCTGAGCAAAGCAAACATTAAACTTTAAGTCATTTTTAAATCAATTTAATCAGTTTATATTGTCATTTCTTTATTTTTCAGTTTTCACATAAATAATAATTAAGGCAAATCCAAATTAAATTAATGCAGTCCTGCAATAAATCCTTCCTTCATGGTGGTTATGATGTTCAGTTTTTGTTGAGCACTACATAAACACATGTGGGTTCACTGTTCCACGTCCATTAAACTGCAGCACACAGCTGCCTTCCGGTGCTACTCTCTGGCAGCTCCCAAATAAAGCTATTATTTAGCCTGTCTTCATTGATATGAATGGGGTGAACAAAATATGACACCTGCCAGCAGAACGCAACACAATTCATCAAAAACTACAATCTGTGTGAATGCACCTGAGTCCCCCTAGAAACCACATTTATATTCTCTAGATCCAGAGTTGTATTTGCATCACCAAACTGCACACACTCATAAATATCAGTTAACTAAACAGGTCGGAATCATTTTATCAAAATCCATGAATGATCTGAGAAATCAACGAAAATATAAACTAAAATCTTCTTTCCTGAATCATAACCACATCCAACCACATACTGTTGCTAATAAACAACCAAACAGACAGAGGTGAAAACATCACCTCTGTGGCAGGGGTAATTATAACCTTCATGAAGGGAGGACTTGGTGCAGGACTCATGCATTAGACTGCATTAGCTTACATTTAACTAATACTGAAAATAGATTATAAAAGATTACATAAAGGGCACTGGGACCATTATGTGATTTGTTGACTCATGGGTCACTACCATTGTTTCACCTTGAGAAACAAATCATGGAATCCATAATCGATGTATGTGTGACTGTGTTGAAGGAGCACATTTCTTTTACAATAACATGTCAAACTCACACCTGTACTGTACGATTTGTTTTATTTTGTAAATGTCAGTGTCACATGATGTCATCGAATTTGTGTGTGTGGTGCAGTGTGTCTGAGGGAGCGGACTTAAGAGTGTCCATAAGGAATATCAGACCCTCACTGGGGGATGGAAACTGATACACAGTCCACATCACATTCATCTTTCAAACACCATCTGTCTACTGTCACAGAGGCATACATCAGCACACGTGCACACGCACACACACACACACACACACACAC